GAAAAGTCAAAGTCCCCCAAATCGGGCTATATGATGGAACATCTGACCCTGACTCGCACCTCGGTCATTATACTTCTTGGATGGATCTGCATGGGGCCTCAGACGCACTTCAGTGTCGTATGTTTTCCCTTACACTGGGTCCTCGGGCTCAAAAATGGTACCATTCTCTTCCTCCTCATTTAATTTGGAAGTGGCAACAACTGAGGTCGGCTTTCTGATCTCATTTCATCGGGGCTCAAGTATGCCTTATCCCAAAAGAGTCTCTTGCGAATATCACTCAAAAAGATGATGAAAGTGTCAAGGATTATATTGCCCGTTTCAATGACCGAGTTCAGAATATGGAATCTTGTCACCCTGATACCTTGCTTGTCATGGCTATTGCTGGATTGAAACCGAATTCGATTTTCCGTTGGACACTATGCCAAAATAAATCGAACACTTTTCAAGAATTTCTCGCTCGAGCCCAGCAGCACATCATAGCGGAAGAAGCCATGTCGGTTCCCAATTTTAACTTTTACCCGAAGTCTTCTAAAGCGGGAACCGACGAAAAGGAAGAATAAATTTTTCGACAAGCAAAATAAGACTCAATTCAGGGGGCCTCCCCGAGGAGACCCCAATGATCCTGAAGTCCGAGCGGCCCGAAAACAGTACGCAACCGACGTGAAGTCTGGTTATCAAACTGTATATTCGGCGGGAGCAGCCACTATTTATGAAGAAATCAAAGGGAAGGGCATTTTGCCAGATCCCAAGCCACTTCGAATGCCCGAAGAAAAACTAGACAAATCCCGATATTGTGATTACCATAAGTCGCCAGGGCACAACACGGACGAGTGTTTGAGTTTGTTAGCCGCATTGTTGCGTTTGATTGGCCATCCGCAACTTAGAAAATTTTACCGTAATACTGATCCCCAGAGGCGAGGTCCGGGACGCCAGATCGAACCCTTTGATGAAGACGATGAGGAGGACCGAGGTGCCATGCCAAAACGCATTCGACAAGGAGACAAAGAAGTATTCATGTTCACCTCGGAGACGTCCGCTTCTAACTCTGCTGGAACTTCCCGATGACGCAAACGAGATCGATCTCCTATACCGATGCAAATTACTGTCCACCGGGTCAATACCAATAACCCCCGGAGTACATTATCCCATCTACAGGTCAAGGCGTATGCCCGACAAGCGCACAACTCTAGCAACAGGTCTACACTACCGATTTGAGAGATATTCTCAACAATCGGAACTGTCCCATAACCTTTAATATGGAAGATGCTAATCACTTCGCACACCCTCATTCCGATGCGCTTGTTATCACCGTCCCTATATGCGGAATTCCATTTCATCGCGTCATGGTGGATACTGGGGCCTATTCGAGCATTTTGATGTTAAGAGCTTTTGATAAAATGGGTCTTGATCCCGCCGAGATTCGACCCTGCAATGATCAAATACAAGGGTTTAACGGGAGCATTTCAAAGCCCATCGGCGAAATCACTTTACCTGTCCGATTCGGCACTTCGGAGAATGCCACCAAACTCGTCATGGAAACTTTCAAGGTTATGGATATCAATAATGAGTACAACGCCATCATTGGTAGAACGACATTGTATAAACTTCGAGCTGCAGTTTCTATCTTTCACTACGCCTTAAAATTCCCGACAACCCGAGGAGAGGGAACCCACTTCGGAGATCAAAGAGAAGCTCGCGAACTTGTTACTTTTATCCCATCCAGTGGAGTTCATTCAACTTCAATGAGTAATAATGAAGCCTCCCCACAGCAACACGCTTCAGACGACGCGGTCTCCGAAGAACCAAACACCCACGTCGGCGATTCTTCCACCTCGGATCCTTTAACCGACGACCGAGGTCGCCGGCCTGGGAAGGCGCCACTACTTGAAGAAGACGAGTTGGACCCCAGAGCCCTGTTCAAAGAAAAAAGCCGAAGTGATCGGGCCAAACCTGGAGAAGACGTAGAATTGATCTATATCGATGAACCAGTGTTCCATAAATCATTGCGTATTGGAAGTCATCTTCAAGAAACACTTCGGTCAGAACTTATCTCGTTTCTCAAACATAATTCTGATGTTTTCGCTTGGAAGCACGATGATATGAAGGGCATCGACTCCGGTGTCGCTAGCCACAAGTTGAACCTCGATCGAACCATCCAGCCTGTTGTGCAAAAGAGGAGGAAACTGGGGCCGGATCGTCAGAAGGCGTTGGAAGAAGAAGTCAAAAAACTCATTGACAACAAGTTCATCAAGGAAGCCAAATACCCGACGTGGGTCTCAAATCATGTTCTTGTTAAAAAGAGCAATGGACTGTGGAGACTTGCTTTGATTTTTCCGACCTCAACAAGGCATGCCCAAAGGACAGTTATCCACTTTCCCACATAGATTACATGGTTGATGCCACGTCGGGACATGAGTTGATGAGTTTCATGGACGCTTACTCCGGCTACAATCAGATTCCTATGGATCCTGAAGATTCTGAACACACTTCATTCTATTCGGCCCGAGGCTTGTACTGTTATACTATGATGCCGTTCGGATTAAAGAACGCCGGAGCCACATATCAACGCCTTGTCAACAAAATGTTTGCTACGTTGATCAGTCACACTATGGAAGTTTACGTTGACGACATGCTCGTCAAGTCGGTGCACGCCTCA